TTCATGTCGCTAGTGCTTTGTCATCTTGTCTTAGCGTTATTGTCATTTTCTCGAAACTTATATCTCTCGGTGAAATTTAGGTTTCCTGATATGTAGTGTTCGTCTCGCCCAGAGGATTGAGGAAGAAGATGAAGAACACATAATTTGATTCGAATCGGATGGAGAGGTCTCCTTAATTTGTGTTTATGTATTAACGGTGCGTTTAGGACTAATTCTAGTTGGACTGGGTCTGATCATTGATTTTTGCAGGCTTTTAAATAACATAAAAAAGTGGGCTTGTACATGACTCATGGCACCTAGTTTGTTGATAATAGATACTGAGTTCCGGATTGTCATTAGGTTTGGGCCCCTTGCTCACATTGAGATGGACGACATCGACCTTGACAACCTTGGCGACGAGTAATCTGTACTAGTCGCCCCTTCGAGTGTGTTTGTGTTTTGAATTTTTCATGTTTGCTCCATGTGTGTGAGGAGCATGAACTGAGTCTTTTGTGTGTTTTTCTTTTGTGAATTGTCCATTTGTGCCCATCTAGGCTGACTCTGATCCCTAACGCATAGTGTGCTAATGTGTTCTTTATGTTCCCTTCATGCAGAATTGTTCCATCGTTCAGTCTGCTCCCCGCTGACTGGTCCATTTCTAGTCCCCCGACAGTCTTTCATCCCGGTAACATCGTTCGCCTTATCCTTCCCTCTGCTCCATTGAGGGAAATGTCGAACCTTTCCTTAGCTGGATCAGAATCAGGAGCCTTTGATTTTTTCTTCCTACCATGAGTGCACTTCAAGTATCATCGCCTACTATCTTCACTTGGATTTTTTTTATTTGATGCCTTCATCAAATAAAACCCAAAACCCTTGGCAATCTCAGTAGCTGTTGCATATGCAATCAAATCCGTATCGTATTTTACTCCATTGACGAATTTTGAGGTGTAATCTTTGTCATCCCCTCCGTAATCATCAATATCCTACAATGTTAGATCTCATAATATAAGTAATACTCCACAATAATAGAAAACCTAACGAGTACATTTAATTTAACAATTATCACAAATAATTTAGCATTCTCTATATTCTCCTAAGCAAAATCCAACATTTAACATGGCAAAATTTAGCATTCTCTATTATTTACATACTATACATCTAATGTAAGAATCATATTAATCATATCCTAGATTTTTCTATTCTTTATTTGCGTATTATACATCTAATCTTAATTTTGTATACAAAAGCATTCAATTTCACAAATAATTATGCTAATAAATTTTAAAAATAATATAAACTAAAATTCAACAAACTATCTTATAGACCAAACTATAAATCATAACAAAAGAATAGAAATATTTGATATAAACTAAAAAAAACCAAATTTTCGGTTTCACCATGGCATAACCGAAGACAATTTTCGGTTCCACCATGGCTTAACCGAAGACAATCTTCGGTTCGACCATGGCTTAACCGAAGACAATCTTCGGTTCGACCATGGCTTAACCGAAAGCCATTTTCGGTTCTACCATGGCCAAACGAAACAGATTTTTGGTTCGTCCATGGCATAACCGAATGTGATTTTCGGTTGGTCCATGGTTCAACCGTATCTGATTTCGGTTGAACCATGAACCAACCAAAAATTACCTTCGGTTGATGTTTTTTTTTTAAATCAAGATTTTTACCTCGTCGGAGTCGCTACTCATTGTTCGGACGTATTCTCGACGATTCCGGCTTCCAAATGTCGATGATGAATTCGAGAGTGTGAGAGAATGAGTGTTTTTTGCTTTCTAAGTGAAGGTGATGTTTGTTTGCTAAAGAAAGGTAAAGATGTTAAAAGGTTAAAAGTGTAACTTTGTTGTTTTTTAGGACGATCATTAGTAAATTTTAGAACGAACCTTTTTTCAACTCTCCAAAATTATACACCATTATGTTTTTAAAATTGTTTAACGGTACAAAATTATACACCAACCCATCTGGCCCAAGTTTATTGCTCCACAAGATGCCCACAAGTGACAAGCCCAGTAAGTCAATTAAAGCCCGATCCGATGTATGTCGGGCACGGGTCACCGGAGCGGAAACCGGATACACCCGGTCGCTTGCATTGCATGCGTCGGAGCCTCGTTCGTTGTCTCAAGGTGGCTGGTGGGGAGTAAAATGGAAAACAAGATCCGGAGTGGAAGGGTGGTCATCTCGATTGCGCGTTGACCTCCAAACCACCGGATCCTCCCATCCCACCGCTCACATGCCGCCACGTACGCAACAAGCAAGCAAGCAATTTTACGACAAATTGAAAGGAGACAGTGCGTAAATTACATCTACAGTCACAGCACCTCAGCATTTTTCTAAAGGAGGTCAGTCTATTTTTTGTTTGTTTGTTTGGGTAGTCATTGGCGTAGCCAGACTTTTAGCCTACTGGGGTCCTTAAAAATTTACTAATATTAAAGTATGTTTATTTAATAAACTTTGAGTTGATTGTGGTTCTAAAGTGAACTAACATCGACAAGAGTACGAAGTCCTAAACATGAAAAATCATACTAAACTATATGTATTTAATGGATTTTGTTTCCCAATTATTTGTCAAAGTAGGGTCCTAGGACCCCACTCCTTAGCCCTCACAACCTCCCTCCGCCACTGGGGGTAGTGCCCGAGTATGAAAACCCCAACAATCAACTACCATTATAACATACTATTGTATCTATGTCGATAATTTTGTTAGCTTGTTTTGGCTGGTTAACCGAATCAAAAGTGTGATAAGGATTTTCCTTACAATTGTTATGTTTATGCAGTGAATTTTTTGAAGTTTATGCATGGAGTTTACCGATCTAAAAAAGCAAAAGGAGTACAAGACTTGCTTTAATTCATACTACTTTTATTCGTCGTAAATTTTTTCATCCATTCTGCTCCTTAATTGTTTGCTTGATACCTGTAGATATAAGTACCCAGAACATTAGTGTGGAATAAATTTGTTTCTCATGTTGTGACAAAAATAGTTAATGTACACAATAAAGCCACTTTGAGATGTTATATGATGCTTACGCTAGGGGTGGGCAATCGGTTCGGTAAACCTGAACCGAACCTGATCGAACAGAATTCAAATCGAACCGAAACCGAAATATTGTTGTTCGGTTCCGAATTCGGAAGAAGAATAGGTATACTTCGGAAACCAGGTTACTCTCTACCGAAACCGAATTCTGGTCACCGAATTGAACAACCGATTTCACATAATCACCCACATATCAGACCTCACCCCCTCATGCCTTATAGCCTCACCTCAACTGGGCCTCGGCCCAAACATCTCACCCACACACAGCCCACACTCTCTGCTAACCCTAGGAAAATAAAGAAAGAAACATGCAGCAAGAAAGCTCTCCAACGGCAGCCGCTCTCCTACCCTCTTGCTCCATCACCTCTCATTTCAGCCTCTTGCTCGTTGCTCCTGGATTCTTCTCCTTTCCATTCTCTTCATTCACTTGTCCTCGCCCTCCATTTAAAGTTTAAACCCACAAAATCAACAAAAAAACAAAAGCTCAGATTAGCAAGCCTAGAAAAAAATCGAATAAAACAAAAAGACGAACAATGTTGAATCAAACTTACCCAGGAGGAGAGATCCGGATCTGCTCCGGCTAATCATGGCCGTGCATGTGTCGTCGGTGGCCTCTGCCGCCTTCACCCTCCCCTCCCGTTATCCATCTCCATCACCATCCTTCGTTCCCCCTTGAGAAATACCACATGCATCAGAGGGAGAAGGAATAGGTCGTGAGGGTCTAAGGAGGGGAACTGAAGACCCTTTTCTGAGAGAAGAAAGCGAAGAAGAAGAAAAATCGAGGAAGTGGGATGGGAAAAAGTCTCGGAGACGGAGGAGCCATCGCCACTGTTGCGTTGTGATATGCGTCAAGAGAGAGAAATAGATTAATTTGAGGCTCTGATTATTCTGAGGAGAAAAGGGAAACGGGAAGATAAGATAAGCAGGGGAGAGAGAGAGTCGCCTTATATATATATATTCTCGGTTATGGTCTTAAAACCGAACCGAACCGAGCTATAATTTGGTTCGGATGTACCTAACCGAATTATAGCTCGGTTCGAATTCGGTTGGGGTGCTGGTTAAATAGAAGATTCGACATGTCATAGTTCGGTTCGGTTAAACCGAACCGACCGAATGCCCACCCCTTGCTTACGCGAATAGCTAAATATCTTGGTGGAAGCACATTACACGCCACTTAATCGGAGGACGTGAATATGTCATTCAAAACCAACACATTGTTTATATAGTAGTATATCTTGCAATGCACAAGATAATAATTTTGCGGTGTTCGACTCAAATCTCATATATTTTGTTGTTGTCTCTTCTCCTATCCTTCAATGTACAAGTAGTGTAGGTTTTATGATCTATTGGAAAATGAACGAATATAGTTTCTAAAAGTCGGAAATCGTAACAATCCATTTCCATTTCCATTTCATACACGAAACATAGAATATTGTGTAGTCTCATGAATATGACCTGAATTGAAGTTATTATGATGTTAACGGATAGGAACCAGAAGTTTGGTCACCGTGAGCGTAATTTACCTGGAAGAACATAGCGTCGGTGAGACGGTGACACAGTCGTACTACCTGACCCGTAGGTGACCCATCATAAACCCCTCGCCCACCGGCTAACGTGTAGACCGGCGACCCATCTCCATCCTCTTTTTTCCATTTTAATTTTAGCTCTCATTTATTTATTTACTCACTTATAATAATAATAATAATAATAATAATAATAATAATAATAATAATAATAATAATAATCTGCCTTCGAAAAGACTCAAAATTCCCCTCTTCGTGTTTTCGTTCGTTACTAATAAAGCGAGCAAAAACACAACAAACCTCACTCTCTCGCTCTCGTCTTCGCTCTATCCTCTCCCTCACTTCCCCGTCTCCCTCTGATTCAAATCGCGATCTCTCCTGCGGGGGTGGTAGCGGTGGCGGAAAGCGTCGGCAGCATTGAGTGTGATTGTGTTGTGACTGAGCTGTTGTAAATGGCGGGGAAGAAGATGGTGGCGCTTCTCTTCGTCGCCGTCTTGGTCGTCTTCGGAGCGGATCAGGTTAGATCTGACGCCTCCGATCACCGATACAAAGATGGGGATCAGGTGCCTCTCTATGCCAACAAGGTTGGCCCGTTTCACAACCCGAGGTGAGCAAGGACTTGTTTCTCTTGATCTCTCGCGTCCATTTTCTAGGGCTTTATTTGTTTGGATTTGTTGTTTTCTTGCCCGGATCCAATTGAGTTTCGGGATGCGCAATTTTCTGTTCAATTATCCGTTGTGGTCGAATCGCTCGTTCATTTTGTCAGTTTTTGAGTCTCAATTGTTAGAAATTGGTTGTGTTTGATGAAAATTTTGCTTCCATTTTGTTGCGTTCGTACAATGTCGAGAAATGCGAGTGTGGTAAGAGTTCTGGATCTGGTTGGCCGATGTGAGTTCTTGCCGTTGAAATCTTTCTTCCGTGAAGGTTGTCAGCTGTTCTGAAATGTAACTGTTAATTAATGGCGGATCTGGTTAGATCGTAATTTGGAATAATAACATCCTTCTAACAGTTTCTGTTTCTTATGTAACAACATAAGAAATAGAGTGTCCAGGTTAATCAAGCTGTTTAGTACAACAATTAGATTAGGCGAGGATTAGTTTGATGGATTGGCATTTCTTATCTTTGATAATTGATACACGGGTTATTAAAATTCTATCGTTTCTTGTCTCATTTCAGTGAAACATACCGTTATTTCGACCTTCCATTCTGTTTCCCAGGTTTGCATCTGGACTACTTATTTCAGTCTCGCTGTATTTTATTTGATTCATGGATGTTGAAATTTATTATCTTCATTGCATGGTTGGGTCGTGTTGGCAGCACATATGAAAGAGAAAAAGGAGGCTCTTGGCGAGGTACTTAATGGGGATCGGCTAGTTAGTGCCCCATACCAGCTTGATTTCCTTCGTGAGAAGGACTCGGAAGTTGTTTGCAAGAAAAGGCTTTCAAAGGAAGAAGTGGGTCAGTTTAGAGCTGCTGTTAAGAAAGATTACTACTTCCAGATGTATTATGATGATTTACCCATCTGGGGTTTCATAGGCAAGGTTGATAAGGAAGGCAAAGACCCCAGTGACTTTAAGTATTACCTTTTCAAGCACATTCACTTTGATATCTTCTACAACAAGGACCGGGTGATCGAAATTAATGTCCGAACTGATCCAAATGCTCTTGTGGATGTCACTGAGGACAAAGAAGTCGATGTTGAATTTTTATATACCGTCAAGTGGAAGGATACCAACACTCCTTTCGATAAGAGGATGGACAAGTACTCTCAGTCTTCTTCATTGCCTCACCATTTGGAGATCCATTGGTTCTCAATCATCAACTCATGTGTGACAGTTCTACTTCTTACTGGCTTTTTGGCTACAATTCTCATGCGAGTGCTGAAGAATGATTTTGTCAAGTAATGCCCGCTCCATTTTTCCAAGTCATTTACGATTCAAGTTTATGTTACCATTTAATTGTTCATTTCGTTTCATGTATTGACTATGCATATCCTTGAATGTAGGTATGCCCATGATGAAGAATCTGCTGAAGACCAGGAAGAGACAGGCTGGAAGTATATTCACGGAGATGTGTTTAGATATCCAAAATACAAGTCCCTATTTGCAGCATCCCTTGGTTCTGGAACACAATTATTCACTCTGTAAGTGAGATATTGAATTGCTTTCACCCTTGGCCTGGTTCCTATGTGCCAAAGGTTCTTGGGAGATTTGTATGATCTTCTGCCCCTGTTCCAATTTTCTTTGTCTCTCTCACTTTTTCTAACCTGATTATTAACTGAATGCAGGACTGTGTTCATCTTCATACTTGCATTGGTTGGGGTGTTTTACCCATACAACCGGGGTGCCTTGTTCACTGCATTGGTTGTCATCTATGCTCTAACATCAGGAATTGCTGGATACACTGCCACTTCCTTTTACTGTCAGCTTGAAGGAACTAACTGGGTAAAGTTTTTTTCATCCACCATCATTGGGTTTGTAGAAATATTTGATTTGGTTAGGAGCGTCTAATTCCTTGCTCTACCACACAGGTTAGGAATCTGTTGTTGACTGGGTGCCTCTTCTGCGGGCCACTTTTCCTCACCTTCTGCTTCCTTAACACTGTTGCGATTGTCTACACTGCCACTGCTGCACTTCCTTTTGGAACGATTGTTGTGATAGTTCTCATATGGACACTCGTGACTTCTCCTTTGCTTGTTTTGGGTGGAATTGCTGGCAAAAACAGCAAGGCTGAGTTCCAAGCTCCTTGCCGTACTACTAAATACCCCAGGGAGATTCCACCGTTGCCATGGTACAGGGGAGCCATTCCGCAGATGGCAATGGCTGGATTTCTGCCATTCAGTGCTATCTACATCGAGCTCTACTATATCTTTGCCAGTGTCTGGGGTCACAGGATTTATACCATCTACAGCATCCTGTTCATCGTCTTCATTATTCTCCTGATTGTCACTGCTTTCATTACTGTGGCATTGACCTACTTCCAACTTGCTGCTGAGGATCATGAATGGTGGTGGAGGTATGCAGTTTGTAAACTTATCCACTGCCCTTCCTTTATGTGATGCAAACATTTTTTTTTCTTTCGTTTTAGTCTCCTAGAATTGGGAAACGATGGAGAAATCAAAATTGAATATATTCTGATATTTTCTTAGTTCTTAAGGTAATTCTAACCTGTGATGCATTGCGATATTAGAGGTTTGATGTGCTTCCAAGTTCACCTTTAGGGTTAGTCTGTGCAGACAAAGAGACGATGTTCTTTATCTCTCTGTCTCAACAATTTTGTGCATAATTGGTTGTTGAAAACCGTGAGTCGTGACTTTTAAGCGACACGCCTTAAGAGAACAAACATAATAATTAAGATGCATGACTGCACCATTAAATGAAGTTGCCATTATCGCTCCAAGTAACCACATGGGATAACTCTCCCTGAGTTTCTTCCCAGGTCTCAGAGACCCGTTTGTTCACAGTTGCCTTGGTTCTGAGTATTATTTGTTCTTTATCTGGCGACAGGTCGTTTCTATGTGGTGGTTCAACTGGGCTATTCATCTATGCCTACTGCCTCTACTACTACTATGCACGCTCCGACATGTCTGGCTTCATGCAAACATCGTTCTTCTTTGGTTACATGGCTTGCATCTGCTATGGTTTCTTCCTCATGCTTGGAACTGTAGGATTCCGTGCTGCCCTACTTTTCGTCCGTCACATCTACCGATCCATCAAGTGCGAGTAGAGAGTGCAGGAAGAAGGTTAGTCGTTGATGTTTGACAACAAGTAAGAGCATGAAGGGTTCATTAGGTAATGTCTGTCTGTCCTACTCTTTTCTTGTTCATTGCAAGGGGATCACAATATGTAGAGAGGTTTTTCTTCTTCTTTGGTTCTCAAATGATTTTATTTTTGTAGTCGCTCTTTGTACGAAGAAAGCGGAAAGAGCAGATTCATTCGAATGTCTCTGCTGTCTAGAGAATATGGTTTTAGGTTAAAAAGTATCATCATCATCTTTGGTTACTCTTGCCCAGAAAGTTTGTATCATCATATCACTTTTTATCTGGACGCACCCAACAATACAATTTTCTCCCCTTTGTTTCCTTATGCTTGCCATTTCTTCCGGAATGATATGCTGTAGAAATGATTCTTGCTTGGCATTTTAGCATCCGCCTTTGGTTGTTGATGGTGAACTTTTATCATGGCGAGGGTGACTCGTTCCACAAGTCATTACTAGATGCAGTAGAATTAAGTCTGCATGGTTAAATTCCTTCTTGTGAGTTGTGAGTGTGTGTAACATGTGGCAGTCAGCTTGGCTTTCTATTCTGCTTTTCAGCACCATTGCTAGACATCCCTCTTTGTAGAAAAGCACAATGCGAAAGCTGATGCTGTACATTGTGAAGGATTCTTTGATAAAAAGGTTATGAAGCGATGATATAAAGAGGCTAACAACACTCAGCTTTTTTTGCCGAGTAGTGAGTGGGGAATTAGTCACCATTCACCAGCTAGTGCCGACAGTTAAGAATTAATATGTGGGTTTCAGTTCTTGGCCATATGACATACGTAGGAGTGATTCAAGTCTGTTTAGTTGATGAGATACGGTATATTTTTTGAAATGTGGAATCTTAGACCAGGTGCGAGATCGTATCGCCCTTCGCTAGGTACGTGTCACATGTTCGAGCAAGGTCTTTGCACCCTGGATAGGCAATATGATGCTGTTACGAAGAGATGATTAAGCAGGCCAGGGTGATGTACCCGACAGTTCCTCATGATACTCCTTGGTTGTTTCTGCTTGTTACAACTTGGCAGAAATGGATGTTTGTCCCCAGACACTTCAGCAGCTTAACCGTATACAGTAACCCTGCTGGAATGGAATGACTGTTCTTACGTGTTGCATCCCTTTTGGTAGAAAAAAAGAAAGCAAAATGGTACTGTGCTTTGCGTAGGTTTCTCTAAAGGTTATGAAACGATATAAAGCTAATAATACTCTGCTTTCTTCCCCAAGTTGATAGAGTGGGAAATTAGTCACCAGCCAATTGCTTTCTCCCCAACTAATCTTCTCGAACTTTGCTAGCCTTTTGGAAATTAGGATTGGTATTTGGTAGCGACATTTGGGGTGCGTTAGCATTGGGACAAGTCGTTTTCTGCTCAGTTATCGTGTATCGGATTTCCAGCATGATCAACACTCGAGGGGGACATTGGGATAAAAAAGAGAGATCCATCCTATCAACGTGTTTCGATCTAGGGTAATAAACTCGTGAGCTTGTTCTTACTTCACCATCAAGAAACGAAAGAAGACTTCCATTGACAAGTTAAACTCATGCGTAGCTCCTTGATCTTTGTGAATTGGTAGAGTTAGCTACATATACTGCTATATACTATGCACAAAACGTTTAGATTTTCTCTTCGATATCACTCAAAAAGGGAGGGACGTTAAAGCTAATTAAGCCCAGAGAGCAAGGATGGACATAGAGGCAGAGCCAAGAACAAGGGCAAAGAAAGAAGTCTTCTTCAGGCGTGGAGTGGAGCTCATGAGCTTGTTATGGAAAAAATCAAGCGCAATGAGATCGACAAGACCCATATAGACGAGGATGCCAGAAGAGAGCGAGCCCAGCAGTCCTTCCATGATCAAGGCATTAGGGTTGGTGTCGTCGTAGCCAGTCAGCCAGAAAATGAACATCCCTAACAATATCCCCATCGGCGTCGTCACTGCGAACATCACACACATATAGGCCACCGTCCTCAGCCTGAAACCAGCCTGCAATGCCAACACGTACAACAATAACAAGTGATCACCGAGTGATTAATGAACAGAAAAGGAAGAGGAGAATTATCATTGCAATTGCGTACAGGGACGAGAAACAATACGGTCTTTTCCACATCGAGAAATTGAGCATAAATCACGGATCAGACCAAAAGACTACACGTTAATCCATCTGGTCTATTGTCCCAACACTAATTGCCTCCTCTCCTCAAGCGTGGTCAAAATGAAAAGTCCGAGTAGAATCTTCCGGCCCACTCAGGCTCAACCCAGAGGGCCCAAACCATTCAATATCCACGATATGACTAAAAGAAAAAGGGGAAAAAAGGATAAAGAAGAAACCACGTCATCGTTCAGATATCATCGGATTGCTTGTCTATTGAATTCTGTTCTCTTTTTTAGTTTAATGATTTGTATGGTATGAATCCCACTCAAAACAGTCAAAACAGTGTTAGTGGGCCAATCGCCATACATAACTCCCCAGCCTCAGCTCCTAATCACGTCACAGGGCTAATTAATTAAATAACCACCTACAAAGCCAATAAAGTAAACCTAACTCTAATATCAAGCATGAACTAATTAACGACCAAGGAAAAATTAATCCATCTGAACGATTTGTTAGGAGGTCATGCGAAATAAACGGCGGTGCGAGAAGTGTGATAACTTTAACCGAATGGCAGGGGAAAAGAAAAGAGAGAGAGGGGTGGAAAATTGGGGAAAGCGCGCACCTGAGCAATGCAGCCGCCGAGCCCCATGCCTTCGAAGATCTGGTGGAAGGAGAGCGCCGCCACCAGAGGCTTAATCGTGCACCGATTCTGCGACGTCCCCATCGTCACTCCGATTATCACCGAGTGGAAGATTATCCCGATCTCCAGCACCTGAGACACCAATCTCTGTTTCACCTTCGCCATCAATTCCTCCTCCTCCTCCCTCGCCCCCCTCGATTCCTCCTCCTCCCCCTCCCCCGATTCCATCCTCAATAGCCCCCTCGATTGCTTCCCCAAATCTCCTCCCCCCGCCTCGCCGGCGACAGGCTCGTACTCTCCTCCCCCTCCTCCGTGGCCGTGGCCGTGGCCGACGTGCTCGGTGGCGGTGATGTCGACGAAGAGAGCGAGGAGGCAGCCGATCAGCGTCACGAGTCCCGCGAACGGGAAGTCCTTCCACGGATGCCGCGACGAGACGGCGCAATCGGCGAGCGACGCGTAGGCCTCGGGGAGGACGTGGACAAGGGAGGTGGAGAGGATGACGCCGGCGGCGAAGCACTTGATTACGAGGACGGCCTTGTCGTAGAGCGGCTTCCCGCGGAAGAGCTGCGCGAGGAGGACGGGGCCGGCGATTCCGACGGCGCTGGTGAGGAAGATGACGAAGATTGAGGCCAGCTTGAGGTGCGCCGCGGCGGTGGTGTCCCGGCAGATGAGGTTCCTCGCCGCTGCGGCGGCGTCGAGGGTGCAGCCCGCGGCGGTGGGGGAAGCCATGGGAGCGTGGACTGTAGTAAGTTGTAGAGAATTGGAAATTGGTGGGGGAAGTTTCGGGAGGAAGTGGATTTTTGGAGGGGGAGAGTTGTGGCCGATTCTAACACCGTTAGGGGAGATGAAGACGAAAAATGGCACAGGAGACGGAGGCTGGATTGACTCTCTGCTTTGAATTTGATCCACCTCATGTGTTGTATGAAAATATATTAAAGTGTGCTGACGAGTGGATAGTGGATTGTCTATTGTATGTCAATGGCGAGTAAAGGGGTGGAAAAGAAGGTACTCACACACTAGTAACTAGTAAGTGATTGGATGACTGTTCCCATCTTTATTCAGTCACAACTGTACGTGGGTACGGCCACGGGCAATCTAGTTATGCTACTAACAACTTAGCAGATAATAACAGGGCAAGATGAAGGGTCACGTCGCCTTGCCACCATCGGAGGGTGAGGGATCGCCGGCGCTGTGATGTGAGGGTGGATTGGTTTTTTGACCAAGCCGAGCCACTTTTGGGAGAAGTGGGGCAAGAAAAAAAAAACCCAAAATTTCAAACCAAAAACCCGATTCTCTCTCCCTGCCCCCGCGTTTTCCATTCTCCCCTCTCTCTCTCCAAAAAATCTTTCGAACCCTCTCCCTCTCTATTTCTTCTTCTCCCGAAAACCACCACCAACAAAGCGACGCCGACGACGGCGAGGTCGGCGACTGCTGCGATGTCGGCGACTGCTGCGATGTCGGCGACTGCTTCTTGGAAACCACGCCGACAACAACGTTGAAGCTATCCCGACGAGGAAGAAGACGCCACCGACGAAGAAGGATGAAGAAGTCGAGGACTTCGCCGACGAAGAAGGAAGGCGCCGCCGCCGACGAAGAAGGAAGAAGCTTTGGTTTCAGGTTGACTTGTTCTCCTCTCTTAATCTGTGCATTTTGTTTGTGGATAGTAAGTTAGGGTTTCATGGATTTTTTTGTGGAAATCTGGGTTTTGTTTATCGATTTCAAAATTTATGGTTCATACGATTCGATTTAGGCTGTTTAGGGTTTTGATTCTACATTTCCAGATTTTGTGTCCGTGGGATTCGAATTTGGGTGTTTAGGGTTTCGTTTCTGGATTTGTAGATTTTGGGTTTCATGGATTCGAATATGGGTGTTTAGGGTTTTGATTCGAGATTACCAGATTTTGTGTCCGTGGGATTCGAATTTGGGGGTTTAGGGTTTCATTTCTCGATTTGTAGATTTTGGGTTTCATGGATTCGAATATGGGTGTTTAGGGTTTTGTTTCTAGATTACCAGATTCTGGGTCTATGTGATTCGAATTTTGGGGCTCTGCTTTTTTGTTTCCTAGTTTCCAGATTTATGGTTTCTCGAATTCCATTTTGGGGGTTTGTTGGATACGATTTTGGGGAATCTAGGTATTGTTTGTTGATTCTTTGATTATAGGTTACATGGATATCAGTTTTGTCACTTCCGATACTTATTCTGTTCATTTTTTATATTATTTCAGTATGGTTTCTCGAATAGGATGTTGGGGGTTTGTTGGATACGATTTTGGGCAGTCTGGGTATCGTTTGTCGATTCCTTGATTAAAGGTTACATGGATATCAGTTTTGTCACTTCCGATACTTATTCTGGTAATTTTTTATATTGTTTCAGTGAATGGGGAGACCGAAAAAGAAGTCAAAGCCCAACAATGAGGGAGAAGGATCATCACAGCAGCCGCCGGATGAACAACAACCACAGGTTTCATTTCTTACTCCGTTTCTCGATTGGTTATGTTGAGTAAAAATTAATAGTCGGATGCATTTTAATATTTTCCTTGGCTGGATAGTTTTCTTATTCACTAACTATGTTTCAGGAACAACCCGTGATGAAGAAATCCAAGACTGTTGCACCAAAATATGCATGGAAATCTCGTGAAGCAGCTGGATCATCACAGCAGCCACCGGATAAACAACCACCAAAGGTTTGATTTCTCACTTCGTTTCTCGATTAGTATATATTGGCTAAAAAAATAATCTGATGTGTGGATATCAGTTCTTTTAGTGTGGATACTTAACTATTCGTTTTAGTTTTTTTTTGTTGGTATTATGGATATTTTTTTCATGGATATCAGTTATCTCCGTTTGGATACATTTTTGCTTTACTACGATAATAATTGTATATATTGGCTTAAAAATCTACTCTGATGTGTGGATATCAGTTCTGTTAATGTGGATATTTAACTGTGCGTTTTAGTTATTTGTCCAAGGATTATGGATATTTTTTTCACGGATATCAGTTATCTCGGTTTGGATACACTTTTGCTTTACTACGATAATAATTGTATATATTGGCTTAAAAATCTACTATGATGTGTGGATATCAGTTCTGTTAATGTGGATATTTATCTGTGCGTTTTAGTTATTTGTCCAAGGATTATGTATATTTTTTTCACGAATATCAGTTATCTCCGTTTGGATACACTTTTGCTTTACTACGATAATAATTGTATATATTGGCTTAAAAATCTACTATGATGTGTGGATATAAGTTCTGTTAATGTGGATATTTATCTGTGCGTTTTAGTTATTTGTCCAAGGATTATGGATATTTTGCTTAATATATAACCGTGTTTCATGAACAACCCGAGAGGAAGAGATCGAAAATGGTTGCACCGAGATCTCGTGAAGAAGAAGGATCGAGGCAGCCGCCGCCTGCTATTCCAGAAGGTGAGGAGGAAGATGAGGAAGAAGATGATGAGGGAGAGGGACCCTGCGGCTCATACTTCAGATTTCGTGGCTCCACCTATTCCCTCTTCAAAATTATAAGCTACTGGAAACAAGATGCTGGATACTATGAAGCATGCAAGAAAGAAGTCGAGACGGCAGGATTCGGGGGCCTATTGGAACTTCGCATGCCTAAGATTTCCAATGTCTTCATGGACGACTTGATGGCTGCTTATGACCCCTCAACCAGTACTTTTGTTTTTGGGGAAGGAGAATCGAAGAAGGTGTTCGACTTCACAGCTGAGGATGTGGCACGTGCGTACGACCTTCCCCTCGGTGGTGCTGTGATTGATTTGAAGAACGTTGAGGGGGGATGCTCGAAAGTTTCAGCGAGGAAGTTGGCATGATTCCTAACAGGGCTCGCATGGTGCCTATCAAGAAGTTGCGGGAGTTGGCCATTCCAGCCAACGGTCCTAGAACACCTGTTGCAATTGCTGTCAAGAAATTCTTGTTGCTAGCTACTGGTTCGATGCTCGTGCCAACATTTTCTCAGAGGTGCAAGCTGGACTTTGCCCCTTACCTAGGTGGGAGTGTTGAGGACGTGAGGGTGTACGATTGGTGTACATTTATTGTCCGTGAACTGAAAGTAGAGTTGACTGTTGCCAAGAAAAAAGAACATAGTGCAAGGGCGTTGGGCTCGCCGTGCGTGTGGGTTCTCGGAGATTTCTACTTCTTGATAGTAAGTCCTAACCTTTTCTTCTAATTGTTGGTTCAATTGCATGAAAACTAGTGAATTTCGTATTTGGGTATCATCTAACTGAACTCGGATACTCTTTGTTTTGTAAGAAATTAGCTTGAAATGATTTATGGATATCAGTTTGGTCACATAAGATACTATTTGTGTTGAGACTGGATATTTGTTGATTAAATTGCTAGAAATGGCGCTTAACATTTATTAATTGTATTTTTTTTTGCAGCTCCATCTGCTGGACTCTCTAAAACTAGGCGGGTTGCACACAAAGACCATACCTAGCTGCCGGTTTTGGTGGAAGCAAAGTGTCGAGAGGGCAAGCACATCTATCCCCTTAGTGAGGGGAAGATATGACATAGCTGCCGCTCTGCTGAGTAGGGAAGAAATGGCCTCTCGCAGGCAGCTCCAGCCGGTGGCTATTGGGGGTACTAGTGCAGCAGCTGCCAGTAGTTCAGCTCTTCCTCCAGATCGTGCACCGATGCCCACCGCGGAATGGTGGGAGACTGAAGATTTGACTAGCCTTTCGCTAGGGTAGGTAAAATGTTTTCTTCCTCCCTAACTAAGATAGTGCATTGGTAGACTTGGACGATATCATAAGCTAAATATTTCACAACATATGTGTAGCTTAAGGGATTGAAGGAAATGACTGAGAGCATGACTGAAAAGTGGGTGGCTCGAAGGGACAAGGTCCAAACGATTGTCCGGAATTTGGAACAGCAAGAGTGAATTTGATCTACCGTTTTCCGTTGTTTGGTGGGGGGTTGTATTGTTTTCCGTGAATTTGATGCCATGTTGGAATGGCTTTGGATATTAGTTGGATTTTAGTTTGTTGTCATGGAATATTTGTTGGTTTCATTTGGATATCGGCTTGTGGTTTCTTTTCAGTTATGAATACTGGTTTGTGAGGTTTGGATATTAATGTTATGCATTTGGATATTTCTGTGAAATCGCTGTTTGTTATTTTTGGATATCAATTCTGCCAACTTGAATATTTGTACGCTCTCTTGTGATACTATTCTGGGTACATGTGATAATTGCACAAGCAGTTTGGATACTATACTGGATACATGTGCGTTGATAGTTTTTAATTTGCGCAAAATGTTCGTTTGTCTTCCAGCTTAAGGTACTAGGTGGTTCGATTGACCGACATTTGGGAAAATTGGTGGACTTTGCCACAAAACTGGGACAGATGATAGAAAAGAGTGAGGAGCATGACAGGTGCAAGGTCGTGGATTCCAGGAGTAGACCTTTGGAGAATACTGTTGAAGAGGTGCTAGAGCAGCTTAAAACAGAGGTGGTGGAAGACCAAGTAGAGAATCCTGAAGCTAAAATGGAAATGGATGAGCAGCCTCTAGAGAAGGACCAGGTTGAGCCACAAGTGGAGAAAACTGGAGAGATGTGTGAAGAAGATCCTGAAGAGAAGAATAGATTTGAGGTGGTGGAGAATGAAGCAGAGAAGACTGTAGAGACACCGGTCGAGGAGGTGTTTGAGCCGACAGTCCCTATGGTGATACACTATACAGACCCAAATACCACTTTTGAGGACATTATGCAGATAGCTCATGAGGCTACTACAGCTGCTAATGCCGAGGAAGAAGACCCACCGACAAGGGAGGAAGTTCTAGAGACGACTACTCATGATGTGGTGGAGCCGTTCTCCCAACTTGCAGAGATGGGAATGTTGCCTACAGACGAGGAGTTGGTAGAAGCGGCTTGTAATAGCGCTGAGAGGAGTCCAGATGTGATTATCACGCATGAGACGACTATGAATGAAGAGGAACAAGAACGTATGTACAACTACACACCTGAGGAATGGCTTGCAACACTAAAGACCCCAGCGTTCGAGAGTTCGAAGAAGAACCCATATGCTTCTTCATCAATATATTATTTGTCGAAGGATGTGTCGACAAAGCTCGACCCAGTTTCTCGTCGTATGGTTGAGTTCGTCTTCAGTACCCCTGAGGGTAAGGGCTTGGTGGTGCACACTCCTTCAATTAAACTCGCCCGTCTTCATCTGTTGACATTGAAGCGATTAGAGTGGGTCAATATCCAAGTGGTTGAGGCTTATGGTCATTTCTTGAATGACAAAGCACTTGCTCCTGACAAGAACAGAGTTATCTTTCCGTTCACCTTTGGTGTAAGTAGGCTCTTCACTCACAACTTACAATATTTAGATTTTTCAGTAACTAATTAGCTATTGTTTTCCTTTGCAAACAGCAACTTGCCATCCTTAATTCTCAGACGAGTGTGCCCTCGTCCAAGGAGAGACTCGATGTTGTCGTTGAAGTGACCCAGCGGGTTCTAGTCTTCAAACGTGTTGCATGGGACAAATTAGAATATGTAAGTGAATCCTTATTCTATCTTGATAATGATTTACGTTGTTTTGGATACTAGTTTGGGTTTTTTGGATATTTATCCGAGAGAATAATTGTCTGGGTTTGAAGATTTTCCTGTGAATATCTGAAATGTTAGTTTTGGATACTAGTATGGGTTTTTTGGATATTTATCCGAGAGAATAATTGATTTGTTTGAAGATTTGCCTGTGAATATCTGAAATGTTAGTTTTGGATACTAGTCTGGGTTTGTTGGATATTTATCCAAGAGAATAATTGATTTGTTTGAAGATTTGCCTGTGAATATATGAAATGTTAGTTTTGGATACTAGTCTGGGTTTTTTTGGATATTTATCCGAGTGAATAACTAATTTTTTTCTATGTTTCAGATTTTCCCCCCTGTGCATACAGACCATCACTACCGGGTCTACGCTGCTGAACTAAGGAGCCAGAAGACTTTCCTTCTGGACAGCATAAAACCCAAGCCAGCAGTGGCCAAGGTGGATCACAGTCCCGTGGGGAAATTGATATTAGAGTATGGGGCTCCTTTCCTTGCAAAACACAACATCAATGCTCCCTTGCATGATTGGGAATTCTTAATTGCGGATGTTCCTCAACAAAAAGGAAACGATGATTGTGGAGTGTTCGCATGCATGTTCATGGAGCACTGGGAGGGTCACATTCCATCGGAATACAAGGAAACTTGGCACTTGGCAAAGCACGTGGAGCACCAGGGAGCATCCATTGCAGGCAGTCTCCTTCAATGGAAATACAACAAAGTAAGGAATGTCATACTTGAGGAGGCAAATGAGTGGGAAAAAGATAAGGAGAAAGGGAAGAGTAGCTGAAACTTACCTCCTTATGTTTCATGGGACATATGTTGATGTTACGGTATTAAGGTGATTGGGTTGTTTTGGGAAGTTTTGGAGAAAAGGAGAAACTAACTCTATCCTGATCCCTCGCTTTATTAATTTAAGGTGATTGTGTTATTTTGGTAATTTTTGGACAAAAGTAGACACTAACTATGTTGATTAAATTGCTCGGTTTATTAGTTTAAAGTAGACAACACTAAGTATATCCCTGATTTTTTTTTTATCAAGGATGGATTAAGAATATAATTCCTTCAACAAAAGTATATCATATGACCCAAAGTGATATCCAAAACACCCAAACTAAAATCTGAGAATATGCGATGGAAATACAAAAAATCCACACAACCACATACATAAAATATAACAAAAATATCCGAATGTTTAGAGAACATATTTGTAGAACCAAAAGACATATCCCTACAATGCATACTAATATCCTTACAACGTAGAGAAATATCGTAGCCTACTTACAAAATATCCGAGTTTGACAAACTAATATCCACAACCAAATTCAGCAAGGTCGTCTTCCAAGTCAGTGGGATGGTCATCATGTTGAAAATGGGTGTCCCGCGTGAGCACTTCCACTGCTTTCAATCTCTTTCCATAGACAATCTTCTTTCGACGACGCTCTTTCTCATTCCTTGACTTATAACGTTCCTTTCCGTGCTTCCTTGGATTACTCTTCTCCTTGAGAGAGAGGCCACTTGTTGGTACATAATTCCCTACAATGTTAGTGGCTTAAGTAATCCGTCCAATGATATTAACTTATACTAATTTACAAAAAATATTCGATACACTTACCGTCCTCGCTAGTTATAGTCTTTGACAATGCCTTGTTTGCCTCCTTGCACACTTTCTGCAATGCTCCCATCCATCTGTTGTACACTTTCTCATCCGCCATTGACAATTTTGTTGCGAGCTGATTAAACATTGCAGTGGTTTCTTGGTACCTCATTGCTATATCTCCTTTTCCCGTCTCGTTCTCATGACTATGTGAAGTATCGCCTGAAGCATCAGCATCACCAACCTCTTTCCTTCTCGCCTCCAACGTCCATCGCTTGAGTATGTAATGATCTGGAATAGTTCTCATACTATCGTTCCCAAACTCTCCAAGCAATCGCATCACCTTAAGCATATGCCGACATAAGACCCCGAATGTTCTAAACATCCTACAATCGCATACCAAATGTGGCCGTAGAAGTATCGACAAGAGTGACACGTTCATTGCTACGCTCACCATCCTCCATCTTATATGTACGGTAGCTAATGAATCCATCATACCTATTATCTGGGACAAGCTCAATTAGATAGTCTTCAATTTCCAGATACTGCTCTTGAATCTGGTTGAAGATGTTTTTCGTGAAGATCTTGGCAGCATGTTGGAGGATCGAGCTTTTCTCCAACACTATGTAAGGGGCTGATTGTTTCCCATCGTAGTCGGACTCAGTCTCTTTGCCCCTTTTGTCAGCCAACAAGCTGCATGTATGAAGAAAACCAAATTGCCCAGACTAATATCCGTATACAAACAGAGCAAATATCCAAACAACAAAAAATGTATCACACCATCACATAAAAATACCTGAAAAGCATCTAAAAATATCCATAATTTGCTAAGTAATATCCATAAATTTCCATCTAGTATTTGGATAACGTACCAGTTAAAGTGGATGAAAAACTCGTCGATATTATGTTTCGGTTTCAAGAAGAGTCGCACTTGTGCATTACACGACTCACTGGCTTGCGTTGTCAACATTCCCGCTGTGAATTGATCTCTCAGATATAAGGAACACCATTGATGACGAAATTTCTTCAAGTATTGCATCCATTGGTGGCCATCGACAGTTTCACTACCGGGAAAACAATCAGAAACCATGCTGCTCCATGCCTCATCAAACTCGGCCTCGTTGTCGACGTAGCAGAAAAGATAAGCAAGATGATTTTGGAACTTATGCCAAAATTTCTTGCTCTTACGAAGATTATTCTTCGCATTCATCAAGATGTTCCAAGTACAGAGGGCATGAAACACATCTGGCCACTCCTTTCTAAGGGCAGCTGCCATACCGGCGTCCTGATCCGTGAAGATGGTCACTGGGAGTTTCCTCTTCATGCACCGACTAAATGCTTCAAACAACCATTCAAAAGAAGGAGTTGTCTCGTCATATAACAAACAAGCGCCAAACACACCAGTTTGTCGGTGTTGATTGAAACCTACAAACATCCCTGCAAAAGACTTGGTATTAAAAACAATGCATAACCGCTTGCATGTTAAAAAAATAAGGAAAATAAGTGGTCAACATACCCAATGGCCGGAAGTATTTATTGGTTCGGAAGGTGGTGTCGAAGGAGACAGAGTCTCCGAAAAGTGCATAATCTTCACGCATCCTACTGTCTGCCCAAAAAATATTGTCAACTTTCTCCTCACAATCTAACTCTACAGCATAAAAGAAGCCGGGATACTTCTCCTTTTGGTCTTGAAAGTAGTCAAGCAAGAAAGTCGCTTCACCACGAGACATAGTCTTTTGTCTGTTCTTGTTCAAATGGTTCTTCTGATCACATTTGGTAAAGTCAAGTTCTCATACCCTCCGGCACACTCAGCCAATAGCTGATACGTTGACCTAAGACTCATCCCGGCATTGCGATTTGCTTCAGCAACAAGTCCTTAAGGAACACTCACGGACTTGTTTGACTTTAATAGGTGAGCATGCTTGGTGGAGTGCAAATCATGATTGTGAGCTCCAATGAAATTGTGCACCACATATCCATCCCTATTCTCATCCCATCGGAAACGAACAAGGGAGGGGCATTCACCCCTAATTCGAGACCTCTTTCTTTTAGGGCGGCTTCTCTCTACAACCGAATCCTCTCCATGTTTCTGTTTCTCAACATTGACTTCTTCCAATGACCCTTGCTTATTACAAACATAATAAAGGTAGGCATAAATTTCTACCACCTCTCCTTCAGAATTCTTCTTTTTTTCTCAAATGTTGCGAATCTACTCGAACACCAAACCCTTTTTTGTGAGCATAGCGTTCGTAGAAACGAACACACTCTTCTTTAGTGCGAAAAAGAGGTTATTCCCCGCTTCATCATCTTCTAGGTCCGAAGTGTTGTGAGCTGCGAGATATTTCCATTCCCAGTTAGTATCCAATGTGCCCAGAATAATTCCCAGAATACGTCTAACAAATATCCGTAAAAGTAGTATCCATGAATCTTAAACTAGTATCCTATTGCTCCAACGATGTATCCACACTATAATCCGACATACTAGTATCCACAATATTTGAATGAATATAAAAAATGCCCAGACTAGTATCCATACAAATTAAACATAGGCTACAAACTACGTCCAACAAACAGTAGGTAACTAGTATCCAACTAGCTCATAGTAGAATCCCAGAAGACCAACAAACATTAAACTCACACCAAAGACATTAAATTTCATTCAATGATGCCAACCAAAATTCAACAACACAAACTTATAAATATGTCAATCCACAATCACCTTCTTCTTCTTCTTGTACTGTTGCATCGAAGCCAAACACACAACCACCATCTATTTAAGTCAAACCTTCTAATACACCATCAACAAATTCTTCTTCTTCATGGGACGAGTTCGTTGATGGCCGATCTAACTCGGCCTCATCATCGATCATCATCAGCAACGTTTCCTGGACGACGGAGGATGAAGAGGAAAAAGACAGGCCGCCGCCGGCGACTTTTCTGTCGGAGAAGAGGAAGAGGGAATTCAAAGAAAAGAAGAGAGAAGGAGGGGTTGAGAGAGAAAAGTGGTTGTGGCATTAATTGCCCTATCACTTCTTTTCTTTCCCCAATTTTTTGAAAAGATCCAAAAGCCCACCCAAAACTGATTCGGGCCCACCCATACTAACATGTTCACCATAACAAGTATCCACGCCACCACGAATAGTATCTAAACAAACCACACAAATATCCAACACAAAAAATAAATGAATATTCTTTAGGTTCAAACAAATATCCAAGCAACCCAAAAAATATCCACGTAATACAAGCAGAAATCAATAAATAAGTAAAACAAATTTACAACAAAGACTGACAAATATCCAAAACACCCCAACTAATATCAAATTGTTGTACCCTAACCCTAAACCATAAACCCAAAACCCAAAACCCTAAACTCTAAACTCTAAACCCCTAATCACTAAACACTAAAAAAATAAAACTATTATTGTTTGCCCAAGCCGAGAATATTCAAAGGTTACACACAAATATCTAAACACATGAACTAAAGGAATATTTCCTCAGGTTCAAATAAATATCCACACAACCCGGAAAAATATCAAAATGTTTTAAACAAATATCGTATTTTCAGAAAAAAGTATTAAAACTAGGAAAGACAAGTATCCATAACACACCAACTAATATCTTATATTTGTACCCTAACCCTAAACCCTAAACTCTAAAACCCTAATCACTAAACACTAAAAAAATAAAACTATTATTGTTTGCCCAAGCTGAGAATATTCAAAGGTTCCACACAAATATCTAAACACATGAACTAAAGAAATATTTCCTCAGGTTCAAATAAATATCCACACAACCCTGAAAATATCAGAATGTTTTAAATAAATATCATGTGTTTAGTAAAAAGTATTACAACTACGAAAGACAAGTATCCACAACACACCAACTAATATCTTCTATTTGTACCCTAACCCTAAACCCTAAACCTTAAACTCTAAACTCTAAAGCCCTAGTCACTAAACACTAAAAAAATAAAACTATAATTGTTTGCCCAAGCCAATAATATTCAATGGTTACACACAAATATCTAAAATAAAACATGAAACATTGAAACAAGAAACCCTAACTCCGAACCCTAAGCAATGAACACTACTAAATAAACTCTAAAAACAATATAATCAGGAAAAAATAGATATTCATACTGACCAGACTAAACCTTATCTGCTAAAAGAGAACCCAAACCCTATTGTTGAAACCTTAACCCTAAGCTCTATACCGTAAACCGTAAACCCTAAACCCTAAACCAAACCTATACCATAAACCGTAAAAAATAAACTATAAACAATAAAAACTATTATTATTTAATGGGCCTTCGGCGGACAGCCCTAACTAAGGTTGCAAGCCTTATGTGTTAGGACTTGATAGTGTGTTTAATTTGATGTAAAACAAAATATTTCAATCCTTCACAAATTGAAAACCATAACCCTAAACCCTAAAACTTAAACTATAAATTGGTGTAATCAGTTTATGGTGGTTGGGTTATTTTGGGCCGCCGTTAAACATTAGTTTAATGATGGATATTGGTTTGCGAAGGAAGAATACTAGTTCATTTCAACAATGATGGAAAGTAATATCAACACAACAGAAAATAATATCGACTGAAAACAAATAAATATCCACACAAACAAACATACATAAATATCAAAGAGGCCCCATCAATTTTCGTTCTCTTTCCACTCCTATCCATTCTCCCGCCCAAACTCAAGCCGGGCCCACCAGCCCACCACGCCACTTGCTCGGATCCGCCGCCGCCGCATGTTGGGCCGGCTTCTACACGTTGGCCCACCTACAGCTCACTTAAGTGAGCCACCACCACGTCGCCTCTCCCCCCGTTGGATGAAGACTTCGGCGACGTGGCTCAAAATCGAGCCCTGTTAGTATCTGCTAACACTTTGAGCAGTTAGCAGATTAACTTCGGCCGGCCAAGGGTACTATTAGAACACGGGCACGAAATAAATGAGTAAGCTCGGCACGAGCACGAATAATTTATGGGCCGTGCTGGGCCTAAACTTCATGAGCACGAGCATGACACAATATATAAGTGGGCCGTGTCGGACCTAATATTTTCGAGACTTTATTGAGTATAAGAACGGGCAGGGCACGAAAATAATATTTATTTGATAGAAAATAAATATAAAAAATTATAGGTTCAAATATTACAAAACACAAGTAGAAAAATAATTATTTGTTGTTGTTAGAAGTGTCATAAAGATATATACGTAATTACTAACATAAGTAACAATAGACAAATAATTAAACAAAGCCAAATCACACTCGCTATACTTCCAATTTTCTTTCCCCCTTATTTGTTACTTTTCTCAAACATTATCGGTTAATACAATCTTCCTCCGTCCAATTTTCACCTTCTTTTTCATTCTCTCTTTTGTTTTCGTCTTTTTCATTAAACACGAATACGAGCATGGTACGAGCACGAATAGGCACGACACGATTCGAACCGTGCCCGGGTCTGGGCCGGGCCTAGCAAAGTTAACAAATGAGCTTGTATGGTACGACACGAAAACTGACGGGCCGTTCCAAGCACGACACGAAATAAATGGGCACGAAGCGTGCCCGTGCCGTGCCGGTGCCGGCCCAAGCACGGCCCAACGCCCATGTACAGTCACAACGCACAACTTATGAGTTGTCAAGAACTGGTTGATTCCAATAAATTATTAAATTGTTCTGAAAATCGTGGATCATATATAATTTATTAATAAAATTTAAATTGATTAGGCTTGCTATGAAATGATACAAGTGACTATGGAAAACAAGAGAGGTTATGCTGGTTCAAACACTAGTTGATTTTAATATTTCGAGTTGTGAATTGTTGAAAGAGTTTTACTTAATGGGTTTTTACAATTTATTAATATGTAATGTAACTTTAAATGAAAGTCGCTCATTGAGATTGAAGTTTGCAGAGTCCTAAATCCTATGTGGTTAACAAGTGGAGGTCGATGGGAACCAAACGTAAGACCTCTAGATTATTGAAGGTTTTGATTTAATGTCAAGAACTAATTGATCCTAATGAGTTAAGTTGTTGTAAGAGGTTCAATATATGAATATTGAACCATTAGGTAGGTTTTGATGGTTATATTGAGAAGAAGACAGACTTGCAAGAACCAAATTCAAGCATCTTTATTCGTAGCTTGGTTTCAAGGATAGAGCTCAGCGGAATTAAACATGCATACAACTAATAAAACAATATAATAAGATGGTGTTTAAGTATGGTTGACGATCTTTCAAGATATTAATTAGAGATATTATTTCTAAATTGGAATTTGGTTGCACCATTGTCAACATGACAAATTTGGATAAAAAATGAATAGAAAACGGATAGAACGATTATTTGTTAGCTATTGTATGTGTATTTTAATGGAAGATTTTGTAAACCACAACCCTCAATAAGAGATAGGTTCTTTTTGAAATAATAGTGATATTTTCCCCTTTTGGTGAGAATATAACACATTGTTTTCACTTCATAATTTTTGTCTTCGTTTTATTTCATCTCAATTTTCTTATATAAACTTTAGAATTGTGAACCTAAATTGAGATTGAAATTTACATGATGGTTATCCCAAACTAAGCTCCTAATACATGGAGAAGATCTCCTATACCTACATATATTCATACAATTGAATCCCATAAGCTACTTAACAAATCAAAATAAAACAAAGTTCGAATCCAAATTCTAACCAACGTAAGATATATGTTTTAATTTCTAAGTAAGCAGCATCAACTACGTCCTTCTATTGGTCTTCTCGTCATCCACTTGTGAAGCTCTCTTCTTGTGCACGCTATAAGTCCATTATTCCTCCCTCCTCTTCTTGCCGTAACTCTTACACAATGGTAGTTGTATTAGTAACACTAGTTCAACACAAAAAAAAAAAAAAAAAAAAACCAAATATGAAATCTGAAAAATCACATATTTGAAAAAAAACCCCAGGGAGATGAGGAGGGGAGGGTCGGTGACCTCGTGTTGCCAACCACAAGGCGATGGTGGTAGGAGGCAGAGGAAGGGGGAGGCAGAGGCGGCGGCGGCTCCATCGTCGGAGAGATTGGAGGGAGGCAGGGGCAGCAACACGAAAAGGGAGGTGCCGACAGGTGGGGGATGGTGGGGTGGCAGTGGGGATGAACGTGTCGGTCGGGGGACATTCACCCTTGGCTAAAAGTTTGCGGGCTTTAGCTGAGGCAGTGGGAGGTGGAGGCGACACCATCGTCGGAGGAGATTGGATGAGAAGTCTCACCAGAATAAATGGAGGATTGGGAGGAGGAATGACAATAACTAGGGTTTTGGAAGAGGGAAAGTGGAGAGATGAACAAAGAGGAAAGCGAGAGGAGGATATATAGAGTATTGAGTTTAGTAATCTCATGTAGTCATATTTTTTCGTTAAAAAATATTCCTAGTTTAATTTCATCCATCAGTTTAGAATAAACTTGAAAGAGAATAGATCTAATGGTAAATAGGAGGGTTGTGACATATCCCGTCCCAGTTTCGGGTATTCATGGATATCCACTGGTAACATTTTCTTTATGTTCCCAACTATTGTGTTTCTAATCACAAATATACTATATTACATAAGTGAAAAATTATAAATAACAAAAATAAACTATACTAAGAGAAATGGTGAAAAAGGAACACTAGTTCATGAGATGCTACAAATATATTAGAAATACCAAATATGTTAAAATACAAATTCATTTGAATTTTTGTATATGCATGTATACTCAAGCAAGTTTGAGTTCGGGTTGGATATATAATGAGAAAACCATATAATCTCATTACCGTGATATTGGAGTTTGAATTTCCCATAATACTAAATATTTTATTTAGTTTGAGTTTTATCCTACCCAATCAGTTTGGATTCAAACATGTATCCATAATTACAGTTTTTTTGTCATACCTAAATCATTGACCTCCAACTCAGTTCCCAGTATAAGGGATCAATTTACTAGTTACCTCAAATATAAGTGACCATTTGAACAATTGACCCGGTGATTTGGCAATGGGACGGTCATAAGCGAATCTGGTTGTCGTCTCATCGACTCATCATCCTCTGTCAGAGTCTGTCCAAACTGACTCTAGGGTCCGGACTCTGGAGTAGACATTGTAAAGACTCAAACTACGCGTAACAAGGGCGACACAGTAGTAGCACGGAAGAACATAAACAATAGCGACAGAGGACAAAACAAAACCACACTTTCTGATGCAGTGACTTGCAAGAAAAATGAGTGGCTGAATGAGAGCAGAAATGGCTATTGTTGCTCTCGCTGTTACCTCATCTCCTCCTCCTCTGATTCCTTACACCTCCTGGCCATCCACCGTCACCATCGTTCGCAATCACGCTTCTTCTCTGTGGTCGGTTACTCGAAGTCTGGTAAATTTGGAGGTTCTTAGCGCGCCTGCACGCAGGTAGGCTAGGGTTAGCTCTTCGTACTCATGCTGCACTATCAACGCCAAGCCAAGGTGTGCATTGCATTCTCAATCTTTCTGTTTTGGTCTATGGTGTTCACTTTGTTCAGCTCGTGAGTTTTTGCCTTTGCCTTCCATATCTGTTTTCAGTCACATTTGATCCAGAGCCTCGCTCGGTTCTTGAATAGCAACGAATTCCAAGTTGTGCGAGCTGGACATTATTTTATATGGTCCAAGGTCAATCTGTATGAGCTTTGTCTTTTAGTTGAAGCTTCCTACTAGTGTCCCATACTCCCATTTCTTCAATTGACGGAATTTTGATTTTAAGTCGTTCCTTTGATGTACAGTTACTTCAGTCCTTTGTTGAAATATGTGACAAAGAGAGACGAAGTTGATTATGTGATGATTGAGGAAGACCTTGTGGAGCAAGAGGACTTCATTGCTGCTCGTGAATCTCGGTTTATATTCCTTGTTGTTGATGCCCGGTCTACTTTATGGTCATTTGAACTGGAAATTTTCAAGTCTCATGAGTGTTTGATTATGATATGTAAGAACTATGATCTGCCTTTTCTGTGATGCAATAGGCTATTCTTGGAGATTTCCTTGGTATTTCGTCATTAGGATTGAACTAAGGATTAGAATGTCTCCGATGGCCTTCCAAGCTTCTACTGCTTGTCTTGATTGTCTTGCTTCCTGTTAGACATTTACAGAGCTAATGTTGGGTTTTGACACTGTATCTCTCCTGTATTGGTGGTCTTGTGGAAGGGGTTGGAGGCATTCATATAGAGATGTGTTGCTGAAAGTGAGGAAGAAATTATGTGTTTCTTGCTCAACCAAGTTGTCAACTGAAGATCTAGAAGCAGAAGTTTTCCTTCATCTGGTCAACAATTTTTCAAGGTAAGCATGTTGTATTCAAGGAAATTAAAATTTTTATTTAATACTGATATAATGAAGTGTACCTTTCACTATTTCAAGTAAACTCCAAAAAGTTCAAGGCGAAGACTGGTCATTGCCTATCTAGAATGAACAGATAGCATAGATTAGAAGAAATTGGAAATAAAGAGAAAAAATAAAAAAGAGAGGAGAAATGTGTGTTGGTTTTTATCTAAACAGCCAGTTGGTTCTTCTGCAGTGAAGAATCAGGAACTTTCCTGGATTTGTGGGAATTATCGAATCCTTTGGATGGTGCAGGGGGTCTAGAACTTGGATTGAACCAATAGAAGGTACAAGGGCTTGGTTCTCTGAAGCATATTGTAGAAGAGCTCCAGCCAATTATGTAACATCCCGACTTTTGGGTTAGGTTCGACCGCTAATAAATATATGGATATTTACGCAAAGTCGAACAAAATCAAACTAGTTCTTTTGACGAAAACTAAATTAATCAATTGGGCGAGTTTTGGGTTGTGGGATGGCAAATTGTTAAATAAATTTTAAAGCAGTCTTTAGGCTCTTAACTTTGAGGAGGATTAGTAGAGTTTTGGACAATACATTGGGAGTTGGTACTCCAAGGGATGAAAATTTCGACCTAACCCAATTTACCCGACTCGTTTGGCCTGTTTTGGACGGGTCGGACCCGCCCGCAGGCTATCATCGACTCGACATGCCCTGACCCGCCCCATTCTCGACCCGTTCTTCTCTAAATTACATGTAATTTTAGTTAAATTACTTAAGATTTTCCTCTTATTATATTATATTTTAGCTACAATAAAGTTGTAAATAAGTGAAAACCTCAATTTCTCCAATAATTTAACAACATTTTATCATATTATGTTTTCTTTCTTGGTCTTTTAATGAAAATAACGAATATTTCAAATTTGTTTTGCATAAATTGCATACCTATTGGGTCGACGACTCGACCTGTCCCGCCCCACGCCCCGTTATAAATTACTCGACCTGCCACGGGGCGGGTATGGGTATCGACATACCCGCCCCGGACCTGCCCCATTGCCATTTCTTGGTATTCCCTCTTCAGGCAAAAGGAAGCTGGATCTAGATAGGCACCCAAATCAGAAAGGTAAAAACGTAAGGAAGGGAATTAAATCTCGGGACTGGGCTCCGATTTATTTCTACGTGGTTAGGGTTGATTTGCGCCTACATAAGCTTAGAGAGAATAGAAGCTGAGGAGTGGCAGCCAACAGGTGGGTAGGGCTGTCAATTTGGATAACCAAAACCAAACCAAACCAAACTATTAGCATGAAAACCAAAATCCGAATTAGGCATATTCACAAAAACCAAAATCATTATGAGGCTTATCAGTTTTTGGATAACTATAAACCAATAAGCTCCTTATGGTTTGGATAAACCAAAAACCAAAAACATGATTGACTTCTAAGAAATCAGGGGTCCTTCAAAAAACAGGGGTCCTTATCGGTTTTTTGGTTTTAACCGAAACCAAAACCATTAATATGCTAAATGGTTTAAAACGAAAAAACTGAAACCAAATTGACAGCCCTACAGGTGGGTAGTGTCAACGTTTGAAGGGTGATGAGCGAAAATGGAGCAACAGTTGGTAGATGCCGACATGGTCGATCGTTGCCGACAATATTGGAATCAGGACGAGGAAGAAGAGGAAACTGGGAGAGAACTAAAAGGAAGAGGGAGGTAGAGTCGGACGTAGAACTCGACGACATTGACGGCAATGTGGACTGCCGTAATAGTACCAAAAGAGATTGAAATCAAGGAAGGAGGTATGAAGAAGTATACGAAATTCATGGGGAAATCCTCGTTAGCAACAAAGTAGCTCGAGTTATGTTAATGTGAGTGTAAAAGGGGTTAAATTCTACGTCTTACAGTGTTTTAAGTTTTTGTTACGTGAAGTATGTGCAGTATTTGATTTATGATTGTGTTTGATTATAAATGCTTCGATTTGAGTTATTGTTTGAGCTTTTCAATATCTACGTTAAGCATTTAAGTTTCTGTCTTGCTATTTAAGTATTTACGACATTTAAGAGCAAGTTTTAGTAGAACTTCACCCTTAAATAAGTTAAGGTGAACAGAGTAAGAGAAAGTAATTAGTAAGAACTAGATAAGTAACCTCGCTTAGCTAGCCACGTTCACGAGTGATCACTACTGGACGACGATACGTAAGACAGTAGTTGATCGGGCATAGAACTAGATGGTGATATGTAACGCAGTTTCCATTGCCAAGTTTCAGGTATGCAACCGGACGACGATATGTAACTCAGTTGACATACATTAGTTTTGACACAGGACGACGATACGTAACACGGTAGTCAAAACTCAGATTAAGGGGGTACCTCATTGTGAGGGTAGCCATGTTTAAGTAAGAAAGACTAGTAGTGGCGCCAACTAAGCCAAGGTAGGGGCCCCATTATAAGGTAAAGGTTGTAATGTACTTGAGAAATAATTTTATGTTAAGTTTTTGAGGGTGGCGAGTAACTCCAACTCCCACGTACTTAAGAAGTAAAGTCTAAAGGGTGCAAGTAAGAACAACTTCCACCATTTAAATTAAGTGTCTTAAGTAAAGTGGTCAATCACTAGAGGTTTTAAAACGTAAGGACGTAGACTAACCCCAACTCACCCACCAGGTCGTAGAGAGAGAGAGAGATAGAGAAAGTAGCCAGTTAAAGAGTAATCAGCTCGAGATCAGCCTAGAAAAGAACTTCGGAAGATTCCAACATGAAGACAATTAATCCAGTACTTGGTGGGACTTGAGACTTAGATGCGATTTTTTATTATAAGATGGATGTTCATTAAGTCAAACATTTTTTTCAAGATTGTTCACATTTCCGATGTTATTATTATGTAATGTTTACATTGTTGTTCAAAAGTATTTTTATGTTATTACTTTTTCAAGGACAATTTGGTAAAAGGTAGTGACCGGCTGGTCTACGGTGTTACAAATTATCCTGAAGGTCCTTCCATCTTGTGCTTTTGTTCCACAAATGTATTGTTCCCATATTGGTACATTTGATTTGCTCATTCCCCTACTTCTCGCTTTTCTTTTTTGGACAGGGTGGCAATGCTCTTACATTGTCAAAAGTTTATCAATGAGTAAGGTGTAAACCTTTTCTTCTTCTAGTTGCATCCTTGATATTATTTCATGATTCATAACTATTTTGCTTTGTGCTAGATAGCTGGTAAATTATTGGGCAAGGTGGTTCTGGATGCTGCCAACTATCAAATAAAAAAGGAAGTCATAAAGAGGGTATGTTTTCGACTCAACTTACCAAGAAAGCATATTAACAATTGGAATGTTTAGGTTAATGCAACTGTTTTGTCAGAGTTAAACTCTAACTATATTCTGTAATTATCTGTCGAAGTTTTCTTCCTTTCAGGCTACATCTTAGATACCTCTCTCTACGTTCACCAAAATGCTATAGTTAGATAAGTAAGTTTCCTCTCATTTCTTGATTCGCAAGGTGGACAATTAGCTGCAATGAATTTGGAATCTAAAGCAGCCTTGATTGTGGCAAAACATGCGACTTTCGTTATGCTAAATTTCTTAGGTTTCTGTGGCTATATTTACCATACAACATGTTGAACTAATGTTCTGTTAATCTTCTAAGCAATAAAACGACAGTTCTATTGCTTGTCAAAGTTTGTGGTCAGTCTCCCCTTTAGTTGTCTTTTCATTTTCTGGAAGATTTCAATGTCTTCTGCAGTTCGATTCCCTGTTTTGTACTTAGTTGGTGCCACAGAATGTTACTTTTCAAGTGGACTCAAAAGAATCTTGCTTATGGTCCTGTTTTTGGATCCTTGGCTTGTGTTCTGTTTGGGGATTTATATCCTGTAAAATATTTGAGTGGTTGTTTTCTGAATGTGGCTTTTGGTTTCCTACATTGGCTAGATGAAAGCTCACAATTTTCATGTCGAAGCATAATGAAGGCACAAAGTTGAGGAGTGATAAACCTCTCAAGTTTTATGTTAACAATAATATTTATGGGAATTGATGATGGTGGGTGCCCTGGAGCTATGTTATATTTAGGAATAGTTGAATGCAGGGAGTTCTTTTTTCCACCTTGAACCTCAAGATAGAAGTGACTGTGAAGCATATACGTGATGTAGAAGAAAGGGTGGACTATGGTAGGGATGGTGGTGATATGTTGCAAAATAAGCATATTCCTGACTTCGGAGTCCATGCCAGAAAGTTGAGGAGTGATAAATCTCTCAAGTTTGGTGCTAGCAGTAATTTCTGGGAGGTGATGATAGTTGGGGCCCTGGAGTTGTATTACATTTAGTAATAGCTGAGTGCAGAGATTTCTTTTTCCGCCTTGTACCTCAAGCTACAATTAGCTGTGACTGCCGAGCATATATATGATGTAGAAGAAAGCGTTAACTAGGGTAGGAATGGTGGTGGTATGTTGCAAAATAAGCTGATTCCTGTCATCGGGAGTGTATGCCATGTTGCAGAAGTAACTACTTCTGGTTATGCATCTGACAGTGTATGCCTTTGCCACAAGTTAAATTCTTCTGCCTTGGAGGGTTGTACTAGCACCCTTGTCTTCGCTGCTATAATTACATTTAAGTAGGTTTCAATATCAATGTGGTATCCTATTCCACCTTTTTTCCATCTCTCTTGTCTTGGTTCTCTCGTGAAAGTGAAACTTGAAGATGATGAAACCATTCCGCCCATATCTTTTAAATCTAATGTGTTTAGCCATTGACAGGGTTTGGCTGGCACTGCATCAAGATATATGGGCCTTAGAAGCGTGATGTCATTCCTTGGCCCAGTGTATGTGAAAGTATTCTTCTGCTCACTGGGTGTTTGTTGGTCAGCTTTAACGTTGTACGAAAAAGGAAAAAAACTATGTTGCCAATTCCCTCTAGAAACTGGTAATCAAATTTCAGGCTCCTGTTTCTCTCCAACTTGTTTTCTTAACATCATCCAGATAAATGCAAACAATTTGTGTTGCTTTGATATGATTTGCATTGCTGGCTTCTTGAATGGAACAATTGTGTTTCGGCACTTAGACAAGATGGAAAAGATTATCAAAGAATTTCTAGCAGTGGGGAACTTTGCTTGCCGATGTCGTCATTTAGATGCTTGGTACCGATTATGCTAGTCTTGCCAGCAATTTACGCATTTGCATTGGTACTTAGTCTTACTTTTAGACATCTATTTTCACTCGGGCTGTCTAATTAGTTTGCAGAATATGAGAATCATCCCCTATTTTCATTCTTTAGATTCGTCTCATTCGCACGTACAAGCCACATAAGTATAGTAATCCAATGTAGAGATTAACCATGATAGAAATGT